TATGGTTGTTGCGAGATTTACCTAACCTACATACCTAACCCGTACATAAATTAATTACTGCAAATAACATAAAATAATATAAAGTTTTTTCTTAAGAAACATTTGATAACTATCTCAACATTATAAAGATTTTGCATGTGAAATTTAAAAATTTTCTGATGCATAGGCAACATGTGAAAATAAAAAACAAAGACATGAGAAAACATTGCTTTATAAACCTTAAGACTTAATAAAAAAGATATTTTGCTTATGAAAGCATTGTAATGTTTACTGATAATCTGCCAAATTTCGTTAAAATCGCTTACTAATTTAAAAGTTATAGCATGAGAACTATAACGAGGACAAAATGGTTACAAGGTCCGTCCCAGGAACTGAGCCTGTGCTGAAAGAGTTAAGACAATAAAACTGACATGGCTGTCTTAACTTCTTACTGATAAACCTTCGATAGGAACTAAAACAATCAAATTTAAAAAATCAAACTCAGAATTTTCAATGTTGATTGTCACAGTTGAAACACTGACCCCTTTTTGATTACACATATACAGGCCTAAGGCTAACTTTAGACAGACATGACCAATCGAGGTTAGTAAATAGGGAAAGTAGGAAAATCCACAAATTAAACAGAACAAAATAATGACAACTGCAAACAAAATTTTATTAAAGTTTTGACCAGTATGAAACATAATAACATTCAATAAAATAAGAGTAGCTTTGTCTCTCTCCATATCAATACAAACTATGAGTATGAAAGACAATACGTATCAGTATCAGCAGTGTGCGAGTGTGTACATGTGCAGAGCTATGGAATTGAGTACATATCACATGAATACATGTGTAAGAGTTCCGATGCAAGTCTAATCTTACTACAGACTATACTTTATTGTACTTAGCGGGCAAACCAAGTGGGTCTGAATGAAAACATTGAACATGATTGGCCAAGATCACTGTTCTGTTTAAAAGTTTTACAGGCCATTGACTATTTATTTCCTTAAGATACTATGTTACATTAGTATGGTTTGGGCTTATTTTTTCCAATGTAACAAAAGTTTCCAAGAAATAAGGTGTCAGAAATTAATTGAATAAAGATGCAAAATTGCCAACTAAACATTTATTATACTTTTTGGAAATAAATAAAATAAATAAAAACATCAAAATTCTTGTAATTTGGGTCTTTTTTTTTATTTTATTATTATTATTATTACAACCTCTGAGACAGGTCAGGTTGTCAAAAGAACAGCCTAGAAATTTCCCTTAAATCGAGCCCTGATATGTATGGCAACAACAACAATATATATACATATAAACATTATTTCTAACTATTAGTTTATCTGCCAAAGCAGGCAAACCCACATACTCCTATTAAATGAAAAAGAGCAGCAAGGCACTGATTCATAATTTATTATCTTACTGAAATTGATGCATGCCTATAAGTTATTGAACAAACACATAGCCATGTTCAGGTTGAGAAATTCATTCACTCAATCACAATAACAAACTACATATGTATCAGATACATACTTAAACAAACTAAAGTGGAAGTTAGACTTATCATGGAGTCTTTAGTTTTATTTTATTTTCATAACATATACGTAGTACACAAAAAACCATAAAACTGATCAAAATAAACTAATGGTTTTGAGTTGCTTTCAAGTTCAGATGTAGTGTAACCAAATTCTACATTAGGTGACAACAATCAAGAAAGTGTTTTATTTTTCAAATATTTTAGGATAAAATTTTTACAGCATGATAAAAAAAAATATATTTAACTGCTTATAGATGGGTACTACTTTGATTAAACAATATAAAAGATGTGCCCATAAGAGACCAAAAATATATTTTATGTCCTTGCCCTTTCACAATTTATGAATGTCACTCTTTAAATACTTGTATCTTAACTGCACAATAATATACACTGAAACAAATTATCCACATTTCTCACAACTTGCTGAGCTTATTGAAATCAATCTGATTGAAAGCATATTTTATCATAAACTTTCTTTAACAAATTAGTCAACAGTAAATTTAGACATGTTACAACATACCACTACATGTATCAATGTTGTTTAACAAAAATAAGCATGCAACCTAAAAGAAACACCTGAAGTACCCTAATACCCATTTTCATTCAGTAAGAAAACTGCTTGTTATTATTATTCTCTACTTTTTACTACCAGGTTAGTTTTACTTCCTTTCTATTACATTACCATAAAAATCTAACTTCGTAACTATTTTTGTTTTTCAATTCAAGATAAACATCTAAATCATAAAACTACCATGACAAGAGTTAGCACGAAGAATAATCAAAAATCTACACCATAAAACTGGTAATAACTGCTATTAAGAAGACTGGTTTTGACCACATGAAAGTCATACAGCTCAGAATACTCTAAATAATCCAACTTAAACAAAGCTTCCAGTGTTTGTTAAATTACTGATCACATCTCCAAAATGCATATGAATGGTTAAGAAGTTCAACTTTTTATCTGTATATTTCAACTTAAACACGCTTTTATGAAATCACTAGTAAATGAGATGTGCAAAAATTTATTTTCATTATGCTAAACAGATTTTAAGTGTTTTAATAATAAAATTAAAACTTGAAACTATAAATATCCATAGCTTAATTGGGAAAAAGCACAAAAATAGATACATACATATATACAAGCTCTCATGCAGTATAATAATCCAAAAAATATCCCAAACTGTAATCTTTTTTTAACATGCGTCGTTTGGGGGGAGGGTGTCTTTTTACTATGGGGTTGTTGATTACCAAAATTTTTCCAATGCGGAAACTGATAAAAATTGTATATTTAGACATTTCTTGAAAAAAGAAACTCACACAACTTTTTTTTACGAAAAATTGAATAAATATTTCAAAATTTATGGTATTTTGTTTCCAAGTGAATGTGCATAGTAAAGCACATAGGCATATTAATACAATTACTATGGAATAGTAGCTGTTTTGACTCTTCTTTTGCTGTGACCACAGTCAAAAAACTAATGACAACAGTTGATCATCTCTTGGGAAATCGTCATTGCAAACATTGTCTTTATGCTTCACTTTGAGCTCACAGACTGCATTTTTAATTTTTAGGTGTAATGGTTGAGTTTGATTCAGACACAATTAACATTAATGTGTCTCTGTAAGGTTACTGTATTCTCCTGGAAGAAGTAAAGTCAAGAATACCATTTTTTTATTATCCCACTGTCAGGGCTGTGATATATTGGTGAATTTTCATATCGGATGGTGTATGAAATCAAGCAGAATATGTAGTTTGCAGTTTTTCAAGCATTCTTCCAGGGCCCATTTTATTCCACTTATCCTCATAACCTTGGTTCTTATGACACATGTTAAAAACAGTGATGATGGAATGTATATGGAATTCACAAATTTTTCTGATGAAGAAGAGTTGGTGAAGATGGTTGGAAAAAGCTGACCATCATATGATAATAAATTTATAAAATTAGTTACAGACCAAATAAGCTTGTCTTATGGGTTATTCAAACTGAAAAATTCTTTATTGTACAAACTTGAAATCATCACTGCTGATGCATTACTCAAACCCTTTGATGAACCTGAATAATGTGAGTGTTAATCATAACATATAACTTTAGTTTTAATCACATGAATTTGTACATGCTACAGGAGAATGTCCATGTGTTGCTTCATAGTTTAGTTAATAAACTAATATTTCTAATATGTAAAGAAATAAATAATTGCAGAACATTTCTCTGAACAGCACACTCTTTGAATGTTTTAATACCAAAAGACAGGAAAGCAATTACAACCTACTAAGTCTTAGTAACTAAGATATTCTGCTGTTAATACTTTAATTGAAAGCTCAACCAACTGCACATGTGGATGTAAAACAAATTTAACTGTAATAACACTAATGCACATAAAAATAAAACAAGTACTTCCACTTGATAAATATAAATTTTACCCAAATAATTATTCAAAATACAGTGTTTAAGCAGTTTTCCAAATGAAAATCTACCAATTTAAATTTTGTATACAAGTTCTCAAAACTAACTATCAATTTATAAACAATTTAGTTGTTTAAACTCAACTCATAATTTCAAGCACTTATTACAAGCAGGTGAAACTAAAAGAAATTTTAAAGCCTGTCCAACTTTCACTGGTCAGACAAAACTGGACCTGTAGACAATAACCTACTTGTCCATCTTCTCTACTATAATTCTGTCCAAATAATATTCATATTTGAAGTATAATGAATTACAATTGTATGTAATGGGCTTTTTTTTTTCTAGGATTTCTAACACTATCAATTAACTAAATTTAAGACCTCATTAAAACTAAGCTAAAGACAAATTTAAGACATGTATTTATGCTACTTATTCGATCACATAATACTGCAAGAGGATTATTGATGAAAATTGCATCATCATTGATAATCCACTCACTTATTATGTAATTTTTGCTTCAACTTCATCAAGCAGGAAATGTATTAAGCACAGCTGTTTGCATTGAACTAGTGCACACACACCTTGCAATAGGCTTTGTACTTGCTGTGTTGGACCAACCAATGGCTGTATCGACTGTCTTCCAGCCAGTTCTCTATGAACGCACACTTTCCCATGAATGTATTAACCCTTCAACATAAACAATGATTCACACACTGTGGTAAGCGTACTTAAAGTCCCAGGCTTAATGCAAGCAGACTGTAACCACAGTAAGTCTAGTCCCACCATTTGCATTAGCAGCACTGCGCAATTCTATCAAGACAAGCCAAACTCGATTTTGTGCTCCTGGTCCGGATAATAGGCCTTGATAAATTCAACTTAGTGCTCCCAGTTTCATGTAGGCCTAGATAGAATGAATGCAAAGTACTGTAATGCCATTAAGCATAAGTACAAATGGAACAAAACTAAGTTACAAAAAAGATATGGCATCAATACTCACAGAAATTAAAATCCTTTTTAAGACCTCATAAGCCAAAACCTATGAATTTAAGACTTTTTTAAGGCCTTAAAAAATACAAGATCAATTTAATAATTTTTAAGGACTGCTAGGAACCCTGTTTTTATTAAATTTATTCCAAATTTACTTATATATAGTGTAAAACATCTTGCCAAATATTTAAAGAATTAATTTTTGTATTTTTGTGTCCAGCCATACATCACTAACAACTTGAGCAAGTTTTATGGTGAATATAATTAGATGGGGGTTTATATATTTCATGGACATGCCGAGTTCAAATCTAAAAACTGACCAAGTAAATAACAACTTTTATATTCAAATCATGATTAACAGAAGTTCTAAGATATTTTTTTTATATTTGACTACTCCTGCCAGGTGTTATAAGTCAAAGTTTTATCTATATTCTTTAAAATACTTTCTGGTTGGTTATTTTAATAGGCATATAATCTCAGTGTACTTTATTTCAAGCAGTCACTGGAAAAAATTTAGAATAGGATGGGAAAAAAGCAAATTCAAGTAAAATACTCATTCATGAAATTTTGATACTTGATTTTTTTAAAGCTAGAAAAACGATACTGTTACCTATCTTTATCAAATTTAGTGATCTTGTTAAAATAAAAAATAACCCTCATTGTAATTCTATATTTCACTTTCTGGTATTTATTCCTTGTGAAATTATCAGCTAATTGGACTAATTTTAAATGTAGTTTCAACTGATAAAAATTTTATATTCAACAAAATAATGGCATATCCTGTGACAAATGTATGTAACATACATAGTGCAAATCAAATTTTATGCTCTAGTAGCTTTCACTTGCAACATTCACAAAACAGTAACCAAGTTAACCCTACAACAGGTCATTAAAATTTTCTTGATGCTGGGAAGGGTTACTGATAATCCTTGTCTCAGTATTTCTTTCTTTGACACTCTCATCTTCACTCTTTTTTATCAGTGGGTCGGGGTGTGTGGTTAAAATGCCATAGAAAATATTCAGATTTAATCAATTACAACAAAAACATTAAAGTATTTTATTCATATTTTACACATGTACTGAAAATGTTACCTTTTTTAGAACAATACAGCTGTTTTGGCCTCCTAATAAAGTGAGAGAAGAACTTGCTACAAGATTCACAGCTGAACTGTTTAAATCTTCTCTGAACACGAGAGTAGAATTTAACATGTCCACAAATTGCACAAGTTATAGTTCCTGGTTGACCAAACTGGATGTTTCCTGAAAAATGCACGTATATTATCATTACAGAAAGAATGAAAACCAAAAATTATAGAAAAAAAAGTTTATGTGTACACATCAAATTAGTTAAAAAAATTAAGTTGTTTTCAAATCTTACAATTCAATAGCTAACCCTTTCAGATATCCCTGTTCAAACAATACCAAAGGCTAGACTATGACTTTTATCTTGGTGCTTAACTTAATTGACTGATCACCTATAAGCACTGATTAGATCAATTAGTGTCATGTAAAATAACCAACTAATCAACAATATGATAAAATTGATTAATATAAAAAAAATAATCAACTAATCAACAATATGATAAAATTGATTAATATAAAAAAAATAATCAACTAATCAAAATTAGTGTTTCTTTTTACTACCTTTTCAATTATTCCAACTATTCAGTAATCAGATTACTACCATTATTATTTTTTGATTACTTCAAGTTTGTTCAGCTTAATAGATTAGTGTCAACTCATGAAAATAACCAATCAAACAAAATTAGGGTCTCCAATCTGATTATTTGAAGTATCCAAGTAATTGAAATACTGGCGTTATGTCTGGAAAAGATCAATTTTTGTAGGTTGCAGCAGAATTTGATTAAATATACATACTGGAAGATCTTTAAGTGATTTGGTTTATTAATGACAGGGCAAGAATGACCTCATGGGTAATTAAGAGTTTAGAATGCTGTAGAAATGGTAAGTAGTTTGGTGAAGCTTGTTAAGAAGACATGGGGTAAGAAATACCAAATTATAGATTACACTTGAGTATTTTAGAGTTAGGCACTGCTGAGCAGCTCTTTCAGTTCCTTTGCAGATCAACTAGAGACAGCAACTCTTGTGAAGCAAATAGGATTAAATAACTGATTACATTGTACATGTGATAATTAATAAATGCCTAAGTAATATGGTATGTGTTTAGTAGCTATGAGTAAAGCTAACACATATTGAAACTTGATACATTTTGCAATTCTCCATATGCCCTTTATGGCCATTATCATGCTGAAAAGATTGCAGACAAACTACCAAAATGACATAGGTTTATAGTTTATGTTTTGTTTTTTTTGACAATACCAACAGCTGATGGACATGCAACCAAATCAGCTGATATCAACAACAATGGCAGTATTAACTATTAGTACATGTAAAGTACGTTAAGTTACTGAAACAAATTAAACTTCAACCTATAGGTGTTTTTTTTCTGGTTGCATTTACAACAAAAATTCACAAACAGTATTTAATTGGTGCACTTAGTTCAGAAAATGAATAAAATAATAATAGCCATAAAAAAGTTTGAAAAAAACTGAATTAGTGCTTCTAGAAACACTTCTTAGATGTGAACATAATTATTAACTTCACTATAAAAGCCTGCATAAAGTTATTCAATATATTTTACAAAATTCAGCATAACAGCTTTTCCACCTCAGAGAAAAAAGATGCCTATTACCTTCAAAACAAATATGCTCATAAGCAAAGAAAATCAAGATGGAAAAAAGAAATTGATATGGTACATATAAAGTTTAAATTATTTATTTATTCAAATTATGAAAAACAACATCAGAATTATAATCACGTGTTTAGTGTAGAAAGTCTGTGTGTGGAAGTTTCTTCACAAAAAGCAACATTTCTGCTTTATCACACATCAGCTTATTCCTCTTCTCCTCCACAACATGCAAGGCAGCATTGAACAACCATTCACTGTCAATGCTACTGCAGGAAGCAGAAAAAACTTCCATGCAGCTTCAGCCAGTGCCAAAGTAGAAAAATGGCCTTTATTGCTCTCCCAATATTGGATTTTTTTGAGTGCTTCTTGGGCTTGCTCAGGTAACAGTTTCTGAAGCACAACATTGATGTTCATTCAGGTTCTACCCTACTGGTACTTTTTCAAATATTGCATAATACATCAAACAAAGCATTGTTGTGTATACTGTGTCAGTGTTTTGCTTCCCAATTGTGATGTGAAAAATATATAAAAAAATAATCTTATTATTGAAGAGTTGCCTTAAGTTAACATCCAAGTGTTTATTAACTACTAAAACAACAAAAATAGTAGATAGCCGACAATGTAAGTTGTCCTTATATCAGAGTCAAGCCAATCGCCTACTGGTGTATCTCTAGTAAAAAACTCAAAGGCAGTATGAATCTTGCATTATTTTCTTTGTTGTTTGTCTATGGAAAGTATTGGACAGTCATGAACTAGCAAAATGTTAGGATTTCACTACACACGATATTATACATTATTTTTCAGTAGCTTGATATTTTCATTGCCACACCACCACTTGCAAAGATTTTCTGATCTATCTATTTTTATTAGCTTAAACATTTATGGGATACACGTATCTGTAAATACTAATATGTTAAAACATTATCATCACAGTGAATTTATGGTGATTTATTCAAAATTAATATGTTTTACAACTAGAAGTGTTTTGTGAATGATTAAATATGAGTGCATAAATCTATTTTTGTGACAATATGAATAAGAGAACTGGCATTCCCAAACAGAAAGTAAATGTCAGATGAATTTTTCACCAGGAGAATTATTACTGCAGAATACAAGTTAGATTATTCAACAATTATATTGAAGTTAAAACGTGCCCAAACTATATATATATATATCTGTAGGAATTAAATAGACTCTCTTCTTAGTGATATACATATTTTTACCCACTTGCTACAGATCACGGGTGAAAGGCCATGTCATCTCGTTTGTTGACTCGCATTCAAAATATTATTGAACTACAATTTCATGAATTTATGTCAATAAGTTTGGTATCAAACTACAGATTATAATTAAAATTTTAGTACTATATATTACTCAATTTCTTAATTTAAAAGCAAACATTAAAAACACACATAGACATTGATTTTTGTGTGTCACATGGTATGTTGAATGCAGCACTGGTTCAAATTATTAAGTCATCAAGAAATTAATGTTGCATTTTGGAATGCTTTCATTACCCCCCCCCCCAAAAAAAACTTACATCATGTATAATAGTTAAATGAACTGCCTAAACCTCATGTTAGTGTTGCCTATATGATGTGTAAAGTTTATTATACTCTAATCCCTTATAGTGATGGAACATGATGAGACACACATTCGGCACGTAATGTTGTTTGAATACAAGAAGGGAAACAACGCCTCTATAGCCACAAAGAATACCAAAGAAGTTTATGGAAATGTTTTGAACGTTCGTAAGTGTCAACGATAGTTCAGCAAATTTCATTCAGGTGACTTTAGCCTTAAAAACTGTGAAGTCAGGGGCCGACATGTTGGAATTGATATTGATGCTCTTAAGACGCTTGTTGAGTCTAACCCAAGGCAACACACTAATGAAATGGCCCTGAAATTGCATGTCTCTTATGAAACAATACGTAAACATCTAAGGAATATGAGAAAACTCTTTAAAGAAGGTGTTTGGATGACTCATGAACTCTCCAATGATCATCGTTTCCAACGTGTGAATGTTGCTTAGTCTCTTCTGGTGTATAATGCCCATGAACCACTTTTGGACAGAATTGTCACCAGTGATGAAAAATGAATTCTCTATGCGAATATTAAAAGCCAAAAAACAATGGCTCAGTCCTAGACAAAAACCACTTCCAACTCCAAAACCTGGACTCCATCCATAGAAAGTGATGCTTAGCATTTGGTGGGACATGAAAGGAGTAATTCATTTCGAACTCCTCAATCCACAGTGAGGATCTCAATGCAGAGATCTATAGTCAGCAACTGAAAAGTTTTAATCAAGCCCTGTCGTACGTTTGACGCAATACAAGATTATAGAGTTGAGTTGGGAAGTTCTCTCCCACCCACCATATTCTCCACATATGGCACCATCAGATTACCACCTTTTTTGTTTGCTGTTAATGGGAAAACGCATGAAAATATGGAAGGTGTTAAAGAAGACATCAACATGTTTTTTTGCTTCAAAGCCAAGGGATTTCTTTAATCAGGGCATTAACAACCTGATTATAAGATGGAAAAGCATCATCAACAAGAATGGAGACTATCTCATTTAATTAATGTTTTGATATATAAATTGTTCAGGGTTTTTTCATCCAAATAAGCAAAATTAATTTCTTGACGACCTAATAGATGTTTGTGAAGTCAAAAATACTAAGTCTATAGTTTTGAACGAATTATAAACTCAAATTACCGATATTGACAAGCTAGAATATAAAATAACAGCCTTTTATCTTCTCAATTTGCTAAGATATTGCTCATGTAATAAATCAAACACAGTGGCACCCCCACACCTTTTTCCATTTTTGGAAAT